AAAGGAGGTACTACAGAAAATATAAGTGAGCCAACCCATGAAATGATTGCAAGCTGTCATAAATGCAGACAAGAAATAGAGCTAGAGCATTGGGGGGTGTGTGTGTGTGTGTGTGTGTGTGTGTTGGTGGGGGGAATATTTGTGAAAGGCAGATCAAGATGCCTTTTTGGGGAGGGGACAGTGAAGCTGAGACCCAGTGGACTATCGGAGCCACATGTGGTGAGGGAGGGGGCAGTCTTGGTAGAGGGAAGAACATGAGATGGGGGAGGGCTGGGCCTGTCCTAGAAGTGGAAGGAAGCCTCAGTGTGCAAAGAGCAGGAGGCAGCTGGACCCTGATTGTGCAGGGTCTTGGGCTTTGGGCCTTGGGCCTCGGGCAGGCATTTAAATTTTGTTCTAAGTGCAAAGGGAAGCCATTGCAGGGACTTAGGGTGGTGATGACATCTCTGATTTCTGTCTTGAGATCACTTTTGCTGCTGCATGGAGAATGGATTACATGTCGGGTAAGAGTGGACACAGAGAGACCAGTTACGTAACTGTCCTGCCCTGGTGTCCAAGTGCAAGGCATGAGGCCCTGGTTGGGGGAAGACAGAGAAGCCTACAGTGGGCACTGGGCAATGAATTAGGCACTACTGATGATGGCGAGAGATGCTACTTGATAGTTTAATGCTAATCCTTCTTAATGAAGCCTGAATTCCACAGCACAAGGAGTTAAATCTGCTCTTCTGTGCTGCCAGCAATGCTCTAATAACACCTTCTTGGAACATTATTCTATGAGTCTGCTAGAGCTGCCATAACAATCAGAGGACCACAGCCTGGGTGGCATAAACAATAGCAACTTACTTCTCAAAGTTCTGCAGGCTAGAAGTCCAAGGTCAAGGTGTCAGCAGGGTTTTGTTTTTCTCCTGATACCTCTCTCTTTGGCTTGCAGATGACTGCCTTCTCCCTGTGTCCTCATATGACTTTTTCTTGGTGCGCGCGCGCGTGTGTGTGTGTGTGTGTGTGTGTGTGTGTGTGTGTCCATCCTTACCTCCTTTTCTTCTAAGGACACCCATCATATTGGATTAGGGCCCACCCTAATGACCTCGTTTTAACTTACTTCTTTAAGGATCTAATTTGCAAATACAATCGCATTCTGAGATACTGGGGATTAGGACTTCAACATACAAATTTGAGGGAACTCAACTGAGCCCAAACAATTATTTCTTTTTCTCTTCCCATAACAAAGTATGGCTTAAAAACCACTTTCTACTTTTTAGGAGTCTGTATTATTGTCAAAATATTTAACTCTCAATAAAGGAACAAAATTACGGGGCCTTTGCAGAGAGTGCATTCCCAAGGCAGTGCGTATCTAGGTACAATGCAGTATTTATTCATTGGGTTTGTGAGACTCATTCGTGTGCTTCTTGTTATAAGGCTGTATAGTTCTTTTTTTATTTTTTTATTTTTTTTTAAGACGGAGTCTCGCTCTGTCGCCCAGGCTGGGGTGCAGTGGCCGGATCTCAGCTCACTGCAAGCTCCGCCTCCCGGGTTTAGGCCATTCTCCTGCCTCAGCCTCCCGAGTAGCTGGGACTACAGGCGCCCGCCACCTCGCCCGGCTAGTTTTTTGTATTTTTTAGTAGAGACGGGGTTTCACCGTGTTAGCCAGGATGGTCTCGATCTCCTGACCTCGTGATCCGCCCGTCTCGGCCTCCCAAAGTGCTGGGATTACAGGCTTGAGCCACCGCGCCCGGCCTTAAATTTTTTTTAAGAGTCAGGGATCTTGCTCTGTCGCCCAGACTGGTATGCAGTGGTGCAATCATAGCTCACTGAAAGGGGATCAAGCGATCCTCTTGCCTTAGCCTGCCCAGTAGCTGGGACTACAGGTATGCACTACCATGCCTGGATTACTTATTTATTTATTATTTTTTTAGAGATGGGGTCTTGCTATGTTACCCAGGCTGATCTTGAACTCCTGGCCTCAAGCAATCCTCCTGCATCAGCCTCCTGAGTAACTGGATTACAGGCAACAGCCACCATGCCCAGCTCTCTAGTTTTTTAAAAAAGATGTACAAATTTCTTATAAATCACTTTGAAGTTCTTGCATCTCTACTATTATAAATTGCTCTTTTTTATATTTTCCAGGACAGATTTTTTATATAAAATCCAAGATGTTTATGAGAATTATGATTGACTGCACAATGAATGTAACCAACATGCCCAGTAAAAAACGCACATGTGTTTTATTTTCAGGTTCGTTGCTGGAAATACCTCTCTTGCAAAAATGAAACTTCAAGAGTGCTTAAATATCAGGAAAAGCTTGTTTGGCAAGAAAAACATGCTGGTTGGAGAAGTTATGGAATTTTTAGCAGATTTGCTATTTTTTCCCCAGAGAGATAGTAAAAAGTAAGTTTTTATGAAATGTTTCAAGAAGTGTGTCTCCCTGTCTGACCGCCAAAAGTGCCCCCACCAGTGGCAGGGAGGTCTGGGGATACCCCTCAGGGGTGACTCTGGTAATACTACTTTGGCTCAAGCCCTGCTCAGAAGCCTGGGGATTCACCCTGTCATAATGTATTCAAAAGGAGCTGTTGGACTGGATATGGTGGCTCACACCTGTTAATCCCAGCACTTTGGGAGGCTGAGGCAGGCGGATCACTTGAGGTCAGGAGTTGGAGACCAGCCTGGCCAACATGGTGAAATCCCATCTCTACTAAAAATACAAAAATTAGCTGGACATGGTGGTACGTGCCTGTCGTCCCAGCTACTTGGGAGGCTGAGGCAGGAGAATTACTTGAACCTGGGAGGTGGAGTTGCAGTGAGCTGAGATCGTGCCACTGCACTCCAGCCTGGGCGACACGGCAAGACTCCCGTTTCGGAAAAGAAAAAAAAAAAAAGAAAAAGGAGCTCTTGGCTCACAAGCGGTGTGGAGGTTCTGGCAGTAGAGAAAGGACATAGGAGTACAATGTGGTTGTAAGTGGTTCCCAGTGCCACTCACAGGCCTTGTGAGGAAGATGCTCTTACTTCTGGGTCTCCACGCAGCCCTCAGCCATGGCCATTGTCTACGGTACAACACCGTCCTGCCCTCTCTTCCGCAAGACCTAGGCCAGAGCCTCCAATGCCTCAGGTCATGTTCACCAGCCTCCCCTCCTTACTCAGGGAGTCCTTTTGTTCTCCTGTGATGTGCGGGGTTCCCCTCAGTGCCTCACACTTGTAGGTGCCACCCTCCAGACCGACTGAGTGTGAGCATCTGCCAGGGCTGACCGCTACTTTTCTTGGCAGGTCTGCTATGAGAGAAGGTTCTTTGTGAACTCACAGAGAGCCATGTACACACTTGCTTCCATAGCCGATTTAACTGCCTGGATGGTCAGGGATGCGCTAGGCTACATTATGAAGTTGTGAAGTTTTGTTTTGGTAGCCCCTCTTTCCTCCTCTCCCTGAGTTCGTTTCCTGGGCTCTAAGTTTGTCTCAGACTGAGTGCATCAGCCCCACCAGGGCCCAGGGCTTCAGCTGCTGTTCCTTAAGGTGAGGGTTCTCTGTTTCCTGGCTTGCTTTTCTATTTCCATTTTCCACGTTCCTCCATGTCATTTTCCTTCCACCCGACAGGTGACCTCTTGCTGCTTTTGCTTCCAGGAAGAATAGGATATTGATCGTCTCTTAATACTTGAGTGCAAATCAGTATTAACCCTTTCTAAAAGGCATTTAAAGGGTAATTACCTTTTAAAGAGTAGCCCAATTAAGGGAGGACCTAAGGGTACAATAGTGGGTGCTATATAGTGGTGGTGAGATGGTGGGCTCTGGAGTCTGATTGCCTGAGTTCACCTTTTATTTCTGCCACTTAGTAACAGTGACAAGTTACTGTTAAGGTCAAGCACTTAACATCTTGGTATCTCATTCATTTCCTCCTTGGTAAAATGCAGGGAGTAACAGTATCTTCCTGGCAAGATCTTTGTGAGGATTAAGAGATCCTATATGTAAAGAGCTTAGCAGAAAACCTGGCACACACTAAAAGAGTCTGATAAATTGAGTCATTCGTATTTTATTATTTTGCTCCCCAGCAAGTGTTTTTTGAGGCACTTGACACCACATACGCCGCCTCTTACTCATATTGAGACCAGCACTGTGAGCAGAGAACAGGACTTTCTTTACAGAAGCAGAAAGCTTGACTGTAGAACTGTTGCCTCGTAAAAGAAAAATCTAAACACGTAGCATACTGACTGAGTCATCTCTCCTGCCTGGCTGCCCCACCCCAAATCACGAGACACTGAGGACTGCTGGACTATTCCGCATGGCCGTACACAGATGGCTTGATGACCATACATGGATGGCTTTCTCCAGGCCTCACTGTCAACAGCCAACCTTCGGAAACAATGGAGAAGCCGGCCGTCTCTTTGTTGAAGGTTATCCTTAGGTGACTGTGTCTTTCGTGTTGGTTCAAACCAGGAGACATTTTGTTACATAACTTGACTCACCTGTCAAGCACGTAAGGACCAGGGGCCCTCGAGACAGCACTCAAGCACCACAGAAATGATCCATGGGATCCTGAGGGCCTTGTAGAAGGGGTCTGGGTAGAGTTGGACAAATGAGGTCAAATTAAAAAATTAAAGTTAAGAAAGCAGATGAGAGAAGAGTGAACAAAATGTTTTAAGAGGAGCAGTGACAGATTCTTAGTGAAATGATTGTCATCTACTTTCCCCCAACCATTTGCCCATCCATCTGTAATTATCCTTCAGTCAGCATCCTCGGCACAGTCACCTTATGGAATGGCAGCTGAAACCCTGGGCCCTGGTGGGGCGAATGCGCTCAGTCTGAGACGAGCATAGAGCCCAGGCACTTCTTCCCTTACCCAGCTTACCCATTTTGTCTCCTCTTATGAAAGTCATCAGAAACAACCCCGAAGTGTCCTCTGCACTTTTGACCTTGTTGGCCTTCTCCTCCAAGCACTTGACAGAGTTGAAACTACTCTCCTGGGTGATCAAGCTGGCTCAGCTTTTGTGGGTTCCTTTTCTCCCCCTGCCACTTGCCCAAACATCAGCATCCTCTTGAGTTTGGTTCCTGGGCTCCGTGCTAGTCTCAGAGGGAGCACATCAGCCCCACCAGGGCTCAGGCCTTCAGCTGCTGTTCCGTAAGGTGAGCGCCCTTTGTCTCCATCTTCTCAGGCGTCCTTCATCAGCAGCAGCCATGTGCTTCCATCTGTTTACCGGACATCTTTACTTGGGTGTTCCACTGGCACTCCAGAGTCAATGTGCTCAAGATTGGACACATCCACCCCTCACCTCCTGACGGAATTCTCCTTCTCCCACTTCACTTGGTGCAGACACCATGGCATCATCTTAACGATCCATCTTAGCAATGTTTATCATCAGTCACTGTGCTGACACATTACACTCATTTTCTTGTTTAATCCCCATAACAGCTCTGTTATCTGATTTTTTTTTTTTTTTTTTCCAGACAGGATCTTTCTCCCTCACCCAGGTGGGAGTGTGGTGGTGTGATCATAGCTCACTGCAGCCTTGAACTCCTGGCCTCAAGTGATCTTCCCGCCTTGGCCTTCCAAAGTGTTGGGAGGCATGAAGTACTGTGCCTGGCCTATTATCCCCATTTTGACCATAAGGAAGTTGAGGCTTAGGAGGCTGAGATGCTTGCTACCCAGCTCTTAGGTGTCAGGGCCAGGGTTAGCACCTGGGAAGTCTGATTGAAGGGGCCCTGAGCCTGACCACTGTGGCCCACCGCCACATCTGCCTGACTTTAGAGCTTGAGCTCTTAACCACATGACTCTCTGCACACACAACAGCCCCCCAGCACCCCCAGCATCAGCACCACTGCATCCAGTGCAACACCACACCCTAGCAAACCTCCCCTTGCACCTGTGGCCACTGTGTCAGCTCAGACCTTCATCTATCTTCCTCTGGCCTAACTGGTCTCCCTGTCTGTGGCCTCACCTGTTTCAGTTTGTCCTCCACACTTCTGCCCGGGCAGATTCTAAAATGTACATTTGATCATATCAGGCTCTTAATGAAAACTCTTCATGTTAAAGTCAAAATCCTTAGGTTTGCTCTCAAGGTCCTTTGTGGGTGGACTCCTGCTTCGCTCTCCAGTCTCTCCTCCTACCTCAAAGAAATTCTCAGAGGGCAAGAGTTAGTCATACTCATCTTTGCTCCCCAGTCCTAACACCAGCATTCAGTAAATGTTTGTTGAATGAATGAACGAATGCGTGCCAGCCTTCTTTGATGCGAACTTTAATTAAATTTCTCTTTTCTAGATCCCAAAGGAAGCAAGTACTTAAATATTATAAACAAGTGATAAAAATAAAGGAAAATGCAGAAACTCTGGCCAAGTCCTCACTCCTCAGGAAGCAGCTGAACATCAGCCTCAGTGATACGTTGTGTAAATTAGGTAATCGTGCCCATCTATTTGTTATAAGCAGGTGACTTTTCCCTTTGTTTCACCTGCATACTTTGCTTATTTTTAAAAAGGCTCCATTTTTGAACCAAGCAACTCCTGTTTCACAAACTTTAAACTATTTTTTGCTACCTACTTACGTTCTCCTAGTAGGAAAGATATCTCTTAAAATCGTTTCCATCCCATTTTTCACTCTTTTGTAGGCTGAGCTCCCTTGCTTGACCACACCCCTCCCCCCCGCCCCCGTCAGTGTAGGTTCCCACCTTTCTTCCACTTCTGTCCTAAGACATTGTCTCTACCGTATATGAATAGATTTCCATACCTTTTCATCTGTGATGCTAAAGTAACATGTGACCAGAAATAATGACATGGCTTTTCACAAGGGCCCACCCTTGATTTTAGCTGTAAGACATAGGTCTCGGCTGTGCGCAGTGGCTCATGCCTATAATCCCAGCACTTTGGGAGGCCGAGGTGAGAAAGTCACTTGAGGCCAGGAGTTTGAGACCAGCCTGGCCAACATGGTGAAACCCTGTTTCTACTAAAAATACAAAAATTAGCCAGGCATGGTGGCACATGCCTGTAGTCCCAGCTACTCAGGAGGCTGAGGCAGGAGAATTGCTTGAACTGGGAGGCAGAGGTTGTGGTGAGCCAAGATCACACCACTGCACTCCAGCCTGGGCAACAGAGCAAGACTCCATCTCAAAAAAACAAAACAAAACAAAACACTATCGGGGTCCTGACGTCTCATTGCCACAGGGCATTATCTGTACTTCAACCAAAACAAGTAATTTTCAACCAGGGATGATCTTGCCCCCAAGGATGAAAGTCTGGAGAAATTCTTGATTGTCATGACTGGAACTCGGGGGCAGGTTGGGAGATGGGAGTGCTACTGTCATTTAGTGGGTGGAGGCCTGGGATGTGGCTGAACATTTTATAATGCCCAGGAAAGCCCCTCACAACAAAAAATTATCCACCCTCAAATGTCAGTGCTGAGGTTGAGAAACCCTGACCTAAACCAGCTACTTTTCCCAGCATGTGTGCTTACCATCTGTTTTACAAGAAAACGTGATTGCTTTCAGGGTAGTCACTTGCTGAGGAGGAAAAAAGCTTTAAATGCCTGATATCTGTAGGAAAGAATATTTTCAATGTGTAGATTTGGGAATATGTGTGTGCATTTTTTTTTTCACTAAATGTTTCTAAGCTGAAGCAGTTTTACAAACAGAAAATACAGATACGAATTTAGAGAAAGTTTATGGACAAAGAACTAATATGTTTAATCTGATTGTTTCATATAATATTCTGTTATGTAACAGCTTTTGTGTCTGGTCTGTGATGGAGGGATAATATATTCATTTACTTTCAGATATGAAGGCATCTTTAATAGCAGCAATTGCAGTGTTTTTTTTTTTTTGTGACTTCTTAAATAAGTCTACATTTCAATTTTGCAGTCAATACTCAAGGTGGTTATGACCAAGTATTTTTATGTGAGGAGTCATCTCTTGCCGTCATTATCTCCTGCTGTTGATTGAAGTTGATTCCTTTAATATAAGGTCCACTTCTGGCCCACAGGAACATTGTAGATGGTTAATCCAACTGCTAATGTGAGATTTGTATGCTGTGGTTTCAGTCGGTGATGGTGAGAGCAAATCAATAACTTCGGTATACAAAGGCAAGAGTGGAGGGAGGGAAAGTAGTCTGTTTATGAAGACCTCTGAACCAGCTGTCCTTCAACATGTAACAAGTATTTTTAGTTTTCCTACCTTTAGTGGAAATTTTCTATCTAAATGGAAACGTGCCTGAGTGGACTCCATAAAATAAGAAGTAAGCCAGAGCCGCAAATTGTTGGGACTCCTCACCATTAATCATTTTTAAAGATATCTTAGGCCCTCTGCAGTAAAGTGTTACCAAACATTAGTCCTCAAAGCAGTTCACTTTGAGGTCAACAGCTATGTATGTTTCATGGGAGTTGGATTATATTATACTATGTATAATATAATATGCATGTATAATTATGCATACTATGGTATACATATAATTACACTGCATTTATTCAGCAAGCCTTTAAGTACTTTGTACGTTGTAATGCATATCAGGATGATATGGTGGTATTATCTTACCCAACTAGATTGTTGATCTGGGGTGGTTTGGGAGAATAATTTACCCTAGAAAGAAAAACAATTCAACTGGGTGTGCTGGCTCGTGCCTGTAATCCCAGCACTTTGGGAGGCCTAGGTGGGAGAACTGCTTGAGCCCAGGAGTTGAGACCAGCCTCTGAGCAACATGGCAAATCCCCATCCCTACAACAAATACAAAACATTAGCTGGGCATGGTGGCTCGCACCTGTAGTCCCAGCTACTCGGAAGGCTAAGATGGGAGGATCACTTGAGCTAGGGAGGTCAAGGCTGCAGTGAGCCAAGATCCTGCTATTGCACTCCAGCCTGAGTGACAGAGTGAGATCCTGTTTCAAAAAAAAAAAAAAAAAGAAAAAAGAAAAACAATCCGTACCCCCGACGTCCAACCACCCACTTGATGTACACAGCATGAAGCCATCCACATGAAGGTAACTGAAATGATTGCTTGCATCTGTCTTTGTGACTTTGGACTGTGGCTCCTATATGAAGCTACTGTTAATATTTGCTTCCTTTGTCTGTAGCTTGTCTCCATTGTGGGGCAGATCCTTGGGTGCCCTGCAGGGGAGATACCCATCACTTTGAAGTGGTCCCCTAGGCTATCCAATGTGACTTTTATGAATGCCATATGGCTCGTATTTTAATTCATCCCAAACATACCTTCTAAATTTGGTAAAAATCTGTCTTGGTCTTTTCTGGATGCAGTAACAGATAAAGAGACATATAGATGGACACTAGGTTGCCCATGCTCAAAGGATTGTACTAAGTGCTCTACAGGATACAAAAACAAAGAAGATAACTTCTGTCTTCAACCTCAAGCAACTTTTTTTTGTTGTTGTTGTTAGGTGGCAATATAAAGCTATAATAAAAAATATAACACATGAAAGATTTAAAGCATAGTCTGGCTGGAGGGGATTGAATTGGGTTTTGGTTTTATCTTGGCCATGATCAGCTGTGTGACCTGAAGCAAGTCACAATGCCTGTGGCCCAAGTCTGTTCCTGGGCCCCATCTGTAAAATAAGGGTGTTGCATTCTTTAAGGTCCTCAACAGAGTTAATATTCCATGCCTAAATGTGGAAGACCATGGTCAGTAGCAAGAGGATGTTCAAGGAAAATCTCTTGGAAGGGATCCTTTAGGAAGTGGAGGGCATAGATTGTCAGAGAAAGGGGGCAATTCTAGGTGGGAGAACTACGGGAACAAAGGTAGGAATAAATAAGATGTGAAAGGGACCGATTGAGAGCCGTCAAGAGGGGCTGTGAGGAAGCATCGGGACAGAGGAGGTGTGTGGAGTGGGAGATAAACAAGAAAAACAGGCAGTGATGGGAGAGTTGAGGCAGTGTGCTGATCTGAAGGAAATTCTCTCCTGTAGGGAAGTGGAGACTTAACACTGAGGAAGGCTTGGGGGCCAGTGATCCTCTAAATGGGCTTGTTCTATTTAGGAAATTGTTTTGGAAACTCTTGAAAATTATTTAGAGCTCATCAAGGCTGTCTAAAGTCTGTCCACAAATGTGCAGCAAAGAGTTCCCTGTCCATCTTATGGAATTTAACCCTAACCCTTACCCTTGTCACCCTCTAAGGTACTAAAGTAAATAGCACAGGTTGAGCATACTTAATCCAAAAGCCCAAAATCTAAAACTTTTTGAGTGCTGACATGATGCAAAAAGGAAATGCTCACTGGAGCATTTCAGATTTTGGAGTTCTGGGATTAGGCATGGTCAACTGGTAAGCGTGATGCAGATATTCCAAAATCTAAAAAAATCAGAAATCTGAAACCCTTCTGGTCTCAAGTATTTTGGATAAGTGATACTCAACCTGTACTTTACTACTTGAAATTATATATTTATCTGTTCACTAGGGTTTCTTTTTTTTCATCTCTCTTTCTATAAAGAAAAGACATGATCTGTCTTCTCCACCATTGTATACCCTGCTCTTAGAACAGTGGGTGGCACTTAGCAGGTACTCAATAAACACTTGCCAAGTGAATGAATGTATGATGGAGGAAATGCCTCAGCTAATTCAGATTTACCCTCCCACTTTAGAAGTGCAGGTATTGATTATTAATTAATACCTGAATGTTTGATTACTTATATTTGAATGTTAATTACTTATATTCTTATCATTCATTTATTATAATATTTACTGCACCTATTAAGTGACAATCTCTATGTTAGTTCCTGGGAGTATAACAATGAATCAGACCCACAGAGACCAACGCTGCCTTCCCTGAGCTCACACTGGGGGAGAAGGCTGTCGACAACTTAAATGCACAATTTAACTGCAATTGTGCAAAGCGTTACCATGGAGACAGCAGTTAGACAACTAAATGCACAATGGCTTAACTATAGTTGGGGAAAGTGCTATCATGGGAAAATACAAGTACTAACAGGTGACCTTGATCTGTCAGATGGAAGGACGTGGGTTGGGGATGCATCTCAGGAAGTGATGCTGAAATTGGATCTGCAGGATGAGAGGTGGCTCACTAGTAGTGGGAGAGAGGGAGGAGAAGAGTCACCTAGGCAGTAGGAACAGAATTTTTTGAGGCTGGAGGGAGTTTTAAGGTCCCAGAGTGCAGAGAGCAATGTGGAGAAGGAGGTGCTCGAGGAGGATGTTAGAGAGATGCCGGGGGGTGGGTCGCAGGCCTCTCAGGCCCAGTCAAAGATCTGGGGTGTTACCATAAGAGCAACTGAAAGCCAGTACAGGATTTTTGCAAAGTAGGTGTGAGGAACCTAGAGCCTTTCCTCTAGCATAATCTTCACAAGAGCTTTCTAATATTATATTCTAAGATCATTTTGTGGATCCAGAATCCATGAAAGAGCACAAAGGACGTGTTTGTGACACACATTTTCTCTTCCTCTCTGAGGTGC